TTGTAAAGTTCAGAAATATGCCATACATATATGATATAATTTTCTTGTTGTCATTACCAAGGTAATTATTTTTTTCCTTTTACTTTCTGACTAAGATGTACAATCAAAGAATGGCAATTTACATCTATTTTATTTATCTCTGTGTATCCAGCATGTTTTTGGATGTGGAGTATATCTCCAGTAAATAATTGTTACTGGATGAATGTATGAGTAAGGTCATGTTTGGGGAAAAGGAAATCATTTGATGTAAAGTTCAGAAATATGCCATACAGATATGATATAATTTTCGTTAAGTTGTCATTACCAAGATAGGCATATCACATATGCTCAAATATTTTAAAGTAGGAAAATATAATATAGGATTAAGCAGGTATTTATTGCCTTGGTTTTGGTGGGTGACAAACAGTTCAACTTACCTTCTTAATATGACATCAAAACTTTGAAGGTTATAGATCAAAGATTTATTTTTTTCTTATGTCCATTTATTGATACATGTCTTTTCTGCATACCACATTTCCACAAACCACAGCAATTCTTGTCTCTTACATTTACATCCCCAGTTAAATCAAGAAGCAAAGTCCATAGTGTCAAATGCTTAATCGTTAATAGTTAGCCCATTGATTCTTTTTTTAAAAATTTTTTTAAACATTCTTTATTAGTTAAGGTATTACAAATGTGTCCATTGATTCTTTATGTAAGATAAGAATTACGAATTAATGAAAACTTTTTACAGACATAAACATTGTTTTTGAATCTCTGATATATGTAATGTGTGCTTCTAGGCATTTTTAGGCATATTTTTTATTTTATTCTTATAATAAACTAGCTTTATATTAAAAATTCCTATCTGTTTTTTTTTTCAGTTAAAGATATTGAGGCTCTGAGAAATTAATTTCATGAACTTCACACAGATAAGAAATCAAAAGCTGGTTCAAACCTTATCATTTCTACCCCAGGGTAGTACTGTGTTGCTTACATTTCAGCTTTTGTATTCAGAATTGCATTTTTTCCACAATGCTATCATAGTAGGAGATCCTGTTTCCATTCAGGGCAAGAAGTCTATCAGTGTCTTGAGTGCATAACCCATGCAAAAGTTTCATAGTGTACCTGTGAGTACAGACAGTGAGTTACCTGCTTCAAAAACACAATGGCGAGGCAGACATAGAATAGACATTCCCATTACAAAAAAAAGAAAGACAAAATAAAAACCAAAGGGTACAGGTGCCAAATAAATCCAGAATCTAGCACGGCAAATTCTGTTAAATCTTAAGGCTTGAGATTAATCCTCTTTTGCTCAATGTTTCATTCTCTAGGCCCACCAGGGTGTTGTCCCTGCATTTTAGGCCCGTGTCTCTTCAATAGGTATTGACAGCCTGTTCCACAGAAATCAAGGGAGTGACCCCACCTTTTGAAACCAAAGAGGAAAGAGCTCTGTCCCCCAAAGGCCCTTGGTCACCTTGGAAGCACTGCTGATCTCTGAACCACCTTTGGGATCATTCCTCTTTTTGCTTGAAGGTTAACACATGTTCTCAGCTTAGTAGCTCTATTGGCCAGTCCTGTAGCCTCCCCAAAGTCCTTCATTCTGTCCCAATTGATATGAACTGACAACTTTTTGCTGTATACAATTCTCAAAAAACTTGTTGGTTTCAATGCAATTAACAGTGGTCCAAGTCATTGGCCAAGGGGGTTATCTACAGATGTTCTCTGGATAACCCAGTCTTTATTCCTGGCTTCTGCGAAAATGGATAATGGATCCACGAGTCACACCCATAATCTATTCAGCAACTGGTTGTCCAGCCACACTCTTGATGCTGTTTACAGAAGACACATTAAAAAAATGCAATATGGATATACTGAGAATTTCCCAAATCTTCAAGTTCTACTTTCATTTTGTTTAGCAGTTTCTTCTCAATTTATCTCTCTCACATTTTACTACAGGCAGCAAGAAGAAACCAGGCTGTGCCTTCGCAGTTTCTTCTCAATTTATCTCTCTCACATTTTACTATAGGCAAGAAGAAACCAGGCTGTGCCTTAAACACTTAGAAATCCCCTCAGCTAAATATCTAAGTTCATCACTTACAAATTCCACTTTCCACAAAAATACAATTCAGCCAAGTTCTTTGCTACTTTATAACAGGAATCACCGTTCTCCCAGTCTCCAATAGCATTTCCTTTGTTTCCATTTGAGACCTCACCAGAGCACCTTTAATGTTTATATTCTACCAACATTCTATTCCTCTCTATCTAAAATCAATAGAATATAAACACAATTTTATCTAGAAACAGCAACCCATAGACTCTGGCTACAGAATACATAGAAATGTATCTATATGTATGCCACATATAAACAATAATATCTGTATGGTTTTGTCCTACATTTGTAATTTTCTCTGTGTAAATTCTTATCCTTGTCACTTTTCCTTGGGCTTCTGTTTTTCTAAATTGAAACCTCAGAGGATTAAATCCCAGGTCTAAAATCAATAGAATATAAACACAATTTTATCTAGAAACAGCAACCCATAGACTCTGGCTACAGAATATACAGAAATGTATCTATATGTATGCCACATATAAACAATAATATCTGTATGGTTTTGACCTACATTTGTAATTTTCTCTGTGTAAATTCTTATCCATGTCACTTTTCCTTGGGCTTCTGTTTTTTCTAAATTACAGTCTAGGAGTTTTGTGAGCAACCTCAGAGGATTAAATCCCAGGACACCATTATAGTAGAACACGTGAGTTACCTGCTTCAAAAACACAATGGCGAGGCAGAGATAGAATAGACAATAAAAAGCAAAGGGTACAGGTGCCAAATAAATCCAGAACCTAGCACAGCAAATTCCGTTAGATCACTGAGTTAACTCTGTTTTTCAGCTGTCATAAACAGCTGAAGGCTTAATATAAAACTACTTTCCTTGGACTGTACAAAGAAGGGGAGATAGAGCGTTGCTGCTCGATATTTTACTTGTGTCTCTATTTTTATTGAAGAGTGAAGCATCAAAGGTGAATTTCCTTTTGATTTGTGAATGTTTTACTCAAAGGGAATAGAGATGCTCAATGTTTCATTCTCTAGGCCCACCAGGGTGTTGTTCCTGCATTTTAGGCCCATGTCTCTTCAATAGGTATTGACAGCCAGTTCCACTGAAATCAAGGAAGTGACCCCACCTTTTGAAACCAAAGAGGAAGGAGCTCTGTCCTTGATCAAAGGTGGCTGAGAATAACTGGGCTTGATATGCTATGCATCATGCAGTCCATTTTCTGAATCTAATGGGTGAGGGGGAACCTTGCTACATCTAAAATCTATGTACAAAATTACTACATAGTTGGTAGATAAAGTATAATTTATACATCTGCTTTGAGTTATAGAGAATGAAATGAACGTTGGAAACATGATGAAAATATGAGGTGAAAAATGGTATAATACAGAGAGTTTATTTATGGAGATGAACCCAAGGTAGGCAACAGGGTGCCTAGTAGGCTTATTCTTGGCCAACATCCTGCCACTGAGCAACAGCTGTTACCTGGATGTTTCAGTTCTTAAAAATTACAAATACATCTCTTACCCCTCTCTCTTTCTCTGTCATCTAATCTCAGAATGAATATATTTTATATGTCCATATTGATATATATCCCATAAATATTAAGCTATAATTAAAAAGGATAACAATAATAGCCTGTTCTACTTTATCCTGATGTTCATCCACTCTGCCTCCAGATAAAGTAAGTTCTGGTCAGGTTCTGTAGCCAGGTTCTGTCCAGGATCTTTTGCCATGTTCTCTTGCTAGGTTCTCTCACTAGGTTCTGTCTCTAGGTTCTGTCTCTAGTCTGTTCTACTTTATCCTGATGTTCATCCACTCTGTCTCAAGTTGGAGACCCAGATAAAGGGCCTTTATTTCATTATTTGAGTTTATGAGTTCCCTGTTCCTTCTCCATTGTTTTGAAGCCATTGCAAAGTGCCCTTCTCTATTTCCTTTAAATAATTACAGAAAGTAATTCTCTCTCAAATTAGATTTTATTATTCCAGGTCGTATTGCTAAAAAATGCTGTCTCTAGGTTTATAACCACCTGAAGCCTTCTAGGTTATCTCTACCCACATTTCCACTGCCTTAACCAGGCAGAAGGAATGAACACAGTAATAACTAGCTCTATACGGTGGTAAAATTCACAGGTTTCCTCAGAGAAACTGATGTGGAGTAAAGAGTGAGTGAAGAATCTTTCAAGCAGAACTAGAATCCATCACAATCACAACTCACTAAAATTGCCTGCTATGAGATAGGATGGTCTTAGGAAAATAGAGACATCAAAGAAAATACACAGAGATGTATTGTTCATCTTTCTTCCTGGGCTCTTGAGGTGCATGATCAGCCTGCGTTTGCTCCTGGGCAGGCATTCCCAGAGTGTCTGCACTTTGGTTTGTGATAATGTACATCTTATTTTCTGTTTGTATTTCAGACAGGATATTAGGCTTGATCCTGGATTTTCTCTATGCCAACAGATGATGAATGAATCATTAGAGAACTTCTGCATTCTCTAATTATGGAGGTATCTTGCACATCTGTGCCTATAAATTTAATTTCTCGTATGATTGTTTTCTTAACATTACGTCTGCATTGCCATGTGTGTATCCTTGATTTTTCATGTGTCTCTCTTCAGACAGGGGCTTCACAGAAGGTGTGGGGCACGATAAATTATTACATACTTAATATCAAGTTCTATGTCTTATAACTCTGCCATGGGCTTGCTGATAAGCCTTATATGTGAAAAAAAAAAGGATTAAATCTGTATAAGTGCTTTGAAAATGACCCATTCAAGTGAGCGTGGCTTGATTTAGAATTTTAAAAAATGCATGACTAGGCCCTTACAAATAGCAAATCTTTTCATTTTCACTTTATATACTAAAGAAACTAAGCTAATCATTTTCATAAGTATCTCTCCTTCCAACTGCTTTTTTCCCCCTCCTAGGAGTGAGAGCTTACCGCCCTCTGTCATTTGGAAGGATGTTTTATCACAACAGGAGCCTTTTTCACCCAGCCACATTTTTCCTCATTGGAATCCCAGGTCTGGAAGAGGTCCATGCCTGGATCTCCTTGCCTTTCTGCTCTGTTTACCTGGTGGCTTTAGTGGGCAATGCCACAATTCTGCTGGTCATCAAGACCAAGCAGACCTTCCGGGAGCCTATGTTCTACTTTCTGGCCATCCTTTCAACAGTTGATTTGGCCCTTTCTACAACCTCTGTGCCCCGAATGCTGGGTATCTTCTGGTTTGATGCACACGAGATTAACTTTGGAGCATGTGTGGTCCAGATGTTTTTGATTCATGCCTTCACTGGCATGGAGGCCGAGGTCCTGATGGTCATGGCCTTTGACCGTTATGTGGCAATCTGTGCTCCACTCCACTACACCACCATCTTAACAGCCCGGGTGCTGGTGGGCATGGGTTTATACATTGTAATTCATCCAGTCCTACTCACACTTCCCATGATCTATCTCATCTACCGCCTGCCCTTTTGTCAGGCTCGAATAATAGCTCATTCCTACTGTGAGCACATGGGCATTGCAAAGTTGTCTTGTGGAAACATCCGTATCAATGCTATCTATGGGCTCTTTGTAGTCTCTCTCTTCCTTATGAACCTGGTTCTAATTGGCGTTTCCTACATTTACATTCTCCGTGCTGTCTTTCGCCTCCCATCGCAGGATGCACGGCTAAAAGCACTAAGCACATGTGGATCCCATGTTGCAGTCCTCTGTGTTTTCTATATTCCCTCAGTCTTTTCTTTCCTCACGCACCGATTTGGACACAACATACCGCAGTATATCCACATTATTGTTGCCAACCTCTACTTGGTTATTCCACCCTCACTCAACCCCATCATTTATGGTGTGAGGACCAAACAGATACGAGAGCAAGTGCTCCATGTCTTTATGAAAAAATAGGGACTTCTACCTCCTTTGTTTAGCAAGCATTTTGATCCAGCAAGCAAAATTGGTGTGTTCTTCTCAGAAAGACATTTCTCTGCCTAAAGTTAGTTCTGCTAAATTACATTCCAGGGAATTTGATCTGGCTCCTTACTAAGTCTATCGTATGAAAAATCATCATATTTAAATTTCAAGGACCAATTCCCATTGTGGAAGCAAGAAGTGTTTGTATTATTTCACTTTGAGTGAAAGTGAATAGTCCAAGCAATGACCATGTCATCATTACATTTGTTAACATTGCTTTCCCCCCTCAAGTTGTTGTATATTGTCCCTTAGTTTAAAAAAAGACAAGGAAACATATAACAAATACATTTCTTCTCACAACACAGACATAAAAGTATTACTATAATTTATTTATCTTATATGTTATTTTTAATTAAACACATGAGACATCTGAGTTGAAAGACCTATGACTATTACCCCAGTCTGGGTCCACTATTTTTCTTATCCTCAGAGACTAGAATGACTACCACAGGCTTTTTTTTTTTTTTTTGTCAGTCTTAGAGTCTGAATTTATCATTTCAAATGCAAACATTTTGGTGGGAAAGTGGATTGGAATTGTAAAATTTAATGAATGTAAAGGGTAATTCACTGTGTATCATTCCATAGCTAATTGTTTTATTAAATATTAAGTTTAGAGATCCATCTATCCTGATACATTTGGGATATAGTTATTTTCTTTTAAAATGTAACAAAATCTTTCATTTGCATTTTATTTGTCTTATCTTTTGATATGTATAAGAATTTGGTATTTTTAATTTAGGATTAATGTTGTGACATCTTTATGAATAGCATTTGTGCATATTTGAAAAATTTCTGAAGATTCTACAATTAGTGGTAGAATTGTTAGGTACTAAGTTACTGATTAAATAAGTCATGTTCTTGCTTTTTTGTGTGTTTCATGCTTACTGTAATTTCCAAATTTTCTGCCCAGTTTTTTAAGTCTCATTGCATGTGTTTTTGAGTACACTTAACATATTAACATTTTCTTATAAAGTTTTTATATTTAATATTTTGTATTCACATAATAGATTAAAATTTTAAAGGAAATTACACTGATTATTGTACTTAATGCACACCCTTCTATCTCTTTTATATGTAGGGTTTCTGCATAGTTTTATTATACGTCAACACCTCAACATCTATTTTATTATTATTGTGTGTGTGTGTGTTTGAGCATATATGTGTTAATTTTTACATTTAATTCTAATATAACTGCAATTTATTTTTATGTAAAGTGTAAGAAAATTAAATACTTTTGTTTCTATTTTTAATATGTTTTATAGTATAATTGGCTTAATAATTAAGCACTTCAGAACCGTTTTTTATTTTTTCTTAACATCAAATTTGATTATGTACAAGAGTCAGTTTTTTACTAATATAGTCAGCTTACCTGTTTATTCTTCTACCAGTATCATGGTGTTTTGATCAAATACATTTTAATAACTTTTAGAGCTGATTATCCTATAATTTTCTCATTCTCCTTTTGTTCTTTATAATAATTTACGGGAAAAAAATGTTGTCTTTTTGCTATAGTTAAAAATATCCAAATGGAGTTTTGAGTTTATTCCTTGGTTCATTTACTATCAATCAATTAAATGATACATGTATTTCTTTTTTATTTTATTTTAAAATTTTTTATTGATTAAGTTATTATATATTCACCCCACTCATGCCCTCACTCCCTTGTTGTCTGTGTCCATTGGTTAGGCCTATATGCTTGCATATAAGTCCTTTGGTTGATCTCTCCCCCTTACCCCCATCTTCCCCTACCTTCCCTCTGAGGTTTGACGGTCTGATCGATGCTTCTTTGTCTCTGGATCTGTTTTTGTTCATCAGTTTATGTTGTTCATTATATTCCATAAATGAGTGATAAAATATTCACTGAGAATTAATTTTGCCCCTCACTTGGATAAGCACGAATGATAAAATGTCCCTTGGTGAAATGTCCCAGCACTCTGTTTCTTAGATTCTCTTCCCTCTACATGTCCAGTGTAGAGTGGGCACATGAAAAGTATACATAAGCTGTGGGAGCAAATGTCAAACAGCAGCCATTGTTTTCTGTAGTTTAGGAGCTTTGTTTATGGCAGGGATAAATCAACACAGTAAAACTAGAAGTCTCCTGATTTTTCTCTGAAGTAACTACAGTTATTTGCCAAAATAAATGTTAACTGATGAAAGAAAAATACCCAGACTTTTGAGATTTGTTAGATAAAACTTCTGAGATGAAGCAAACTAGATATTCAAAAAGCACAATTCCATATTTCTCTTCAGTTAGAATAGGTCTTATGAAAGCCAGATGAAAATTGGTGTTTTGGGTAAAAGTATGCCTCACAAAAGTTCTGATGGTTTTGCACAAGAAATTGTATGAGCATTTTCCCAGTTCCTAACAGTAAATGACTCTAATATCTACATTAAATTCATCCATTTTCCCTCTACACAAGAAAAAAAATTACTTTTGTGGTAGGTGTTTGCTAGACTCCATACTTCCCCTGGAGCAGATAAACAGAGCCTCTGAAACTAAACTTGAGTGCAGTAATGAAATGAATAGCATGAATAAACTTAAAAATCACTACTTTCTTATTTTTAATTTAACTAAAACAAAGTTCCACAAACCTATTATAAAGGGCAAGGTAGAAATAATTTTAAGCTTTGCAAGCCATATGATATTTGTTGGCATTATTAAATTCTGCTGCTCTAATGTAAAAAACACAATTATATTAAATAAAACAAATGATTGTGTCTGTGTTCCAGTAAAACCTTTGCAAAATGGTCATTGAATCTCTAGTTATAATTTCCAAATAATGGAAACAACCCAGATATACTTCAAGGAGTGAGTGGCTAAATAAAAATGGCAGTATATTCATCCTGAGGAATACCATAAGTCATCAGTCAAAATGAACTATTGATAGACAACAACTTGAATAAATGTCCAGATAACTTACATTGAGTGAAAAAGCAGTTCCCCAAAGATTTCATATTATACTAGAGGCCTGGTGCACAGATTTATGCACCAGTGGCGTCCCTCGGCCTGGCCTGCAGGAATTGGGCCAAAACTGGCTCTCTGACATGCCTTGAGGGGTCCCGGATTGCGAAAGGGCGCTTCTCGGGTGATGCATCCCAGAATCGGGCTCCTTCCTCTCTGGTTCTGGGTGTGTCACTTGAGCTGCCAAGTCACCGCAGCTCTGTCAATACGTGTCATAGCTACTGGTTGGAGTGTCTGCCCCCTAGTCCTCATTGCACGTCATAGCTACTGGTTGGATGGTCGCTTAGGCTTTTATATATGTAGATAATTCCATTTACATAAAAGTGTTTAAATGATAAAATTATTGAAATGAACAATAGATTAGTGGTTACCAGGATATAAAGTCAAGGGAGTCATGTGGGAATGATAAGAAAGCCTATAAAAGGATAATTTTGGAGATCCTTATGCTGATGGAAACAAAGAGATGGACATTGCTATAAATAAGAAATGTTTGGATCTGCAGTTGTTTTACTACTTCTTAAGTTATTCTGTGTCTATTTGGGTTTTAGGTTTGTATGAAATTGTCGATAAGTGTTTGTTGAATGATTTTTGTGAGGATGCCTACTGATTTTAGAGGTGACTTCTTGAATTTGAATTCATGTGAAAATTATTAAATCAAACCTACTTAAGTACTTGACATGTATCATTATATGTGTATTGTTTTTATTTTTGTGTTTATATCAGTGTAGCTATGTTTAGTTTCCCACATCTATCTTTCTCAGCCTTAATAATTTGTAAGGTTCCTTGACATCCTCAATTTGGGAAAGTATCACATTTTATATATGCTCATTAACAAGTACTAAAACATAAATTATATTAGTTCATAACTACAAATAAGGTTATATTATTTTTCAGCATTGACTATGTTATTAATCATCATAAAAGATCTGTTCCTTGGGTTCAAATTGTTTGTGTCAGGAATTTTTCTTTTCATTTAATAATAGATAAACACAGATCAGAAACAATACCTCTCTGCTTGCACTCTTGCACTTTGCTAAAATACCAACTAATATTAAAATGTATTTATATGCTTTTTCCCCCTGTCCAGGTATTATTCAAATTTTCTCCTATTCCAGCCAAATTCAGAATGCCCCATGAAAATATAACCAAGTTCCATCCATCAACATATTTTTTTAGGCATCCTAGAGAATGCTCATGCCTATATTTCCTTGCCCTTCTGTTGTGTTTACATTGTGACTCAAATTTGTAATACATCAATTTTTATAGCTATATGAACAGAGAACACCTTGAATTCAATATTCTTTCTGGACATTCCATCAGTTTTTTCTGGTCCTCTTCACATTCTTCACACCACATATGTTGACTAACCTCTGGTTTAATGCTCATTAGATTGGCTTTGCAGCCTGTGTAGCCCTGATGTTTCTCATACACATTTTACAGGAATGGAATCTCTTATCCCCCTATCAATGGCCTTTGACTGCTATGACAGCCTGGGTGCTGTCAGGAATTGGACTGGCTGTTGCATTGAGTGCAGTCATGCTCACATTGCCCATGGCCTACCTAATCCACCATTTGCCCTTTTGTGATGCCTGCATGATTGCCCACACAACTGTGGGCACATGGGCATTGCCAAGTTGGCTTGTGCCAATATCCAAGTCAATGCCATCTAGAATTTTTTCATTGCTCCCTTCCTTGTCCTCATCCTGGTTCTGGTTGGAATCTTTTATGGTTACAAAGGCAGTTCTATATTCTGCCTCAAATCCCAAAGTGCCCACACAAGCCACTGAGCACTTGTGGCTCCCATACTGCAGTCATGTTTGTGATTTACACATCCTCTCTTTCCCCCTTCATTTGTTACAAATGTGCTGTACTCATGAAAGTTGTTAATAATAGGGGAAACAGTGCAGGATGCATGGGAACTTTGTACTCTCTTCCAATTATTCTGTAGATCTAAAATTCAAGAAAAAAAGTT